TTTATGTGTACTTTGTATCTAAACGAAGAGATATACGACTTTGACTTAGCTCGTATGCTAAAGGGTAGTCATTGCCGAAAAATTATACTGTACATCAACAAGTAAAGGAAAAAGATTATTTAGTTTGAAAATGAAAATAAAAGAATATTAACAATATTTACAATCACTATTTAATAATATTAGTATTGGAATTGTCTGTTTTGTCTTTATGTGGCCAAACTTTCTTTCCCTTTTTCTAATCGAAAGATCTTTTTTGATGCGCTATCGCGCAAGTGTAGTGAATCACATAGATAAGCCCCTACCTGCCAGCGCGCGGATGGATAGAGCTCTCTTCAACCTGCTCATGGCTAGATCGATCGGTTTCGGGTCAAATAGGAAGAACTAGAAGAGGGACAGCCAGCGGTGAGGCCATTGGACCAATAAACTGGAAGGGAAGCAACATGGTTAGACTGCTGATATTATGGAGTAGCCTGACCCTGGGAACGAGACTGTAATCGCCACCGGCTTTCTATCTTAAAAAAGATAATGAAATTTCGAAAAAGCTCTTTTAAGAATATTTCCCGCACTTCTTCAGTAAATTTGCCTACTTTATTATACATATATTTTCACAAATAAAATGGCAAGGAATAAGACGTCTGAGAAGGGATGCCGAAAAAAGGCCTTCTTTTTTAGTAAGGGTGTCAGCCGCAAGTATGAGGGGTGTGGAACCTTTTATTCTGGCGTAACAGCGGGACCCACCCACCAAATGGAACTCTGCCCTTTTCAACCAAGGAGGTGAAACCAACTTATTACTGATTGAGCATGATCACAGGCGGCGGTACTTTCTTCGCATCCTTAATCACTCAACAAGGGCAGAAACTTCATTCGCCTAGGAAAGAAAATTAGGAATTTTTTCTACCCATCATCAAAGCAAGCCCAAGTCCATGCAAGAAGGCAACTTGTCTGGATGAAGATGTGTCTTTCCTAAGCAAGACGGTAAAAAAACAATAAAGACCCCCGGGACACCTATACCAAAAGCTCAGTGTGCTCATGCAAATTGCACACTGAGCTTATGGTATAGGTGTCCCGGGGTCTTTATTGTTTTTTTTTACCGTCTTTCCTAAGAGAATTCTTGGTTCAATTCTCCACCTTAACGACAGAAAATAGGATAAAATGGGTCAAATTCTACAGGATCAAACCTATGGGACTTAAGGAAAATTTGTTTATATGTGAAGTCTAACTAATGGAAAGTGCGCCAAGAACTAAAAAATCCGAGGGGTTGACCCTTCATTTTAGAGTCAATTGCGAGTTTACGAGCTTGATGAAGGCCGAGTGTTGGGCTTTCGGGATCAAAGAATCTTAAGAATAGCCTCTCTTACTTTCATCTTTGGTTGATGAATTAAGACTGCCCCTCCATCTGAATGAAAGCCCGAGGGAATATGAAAGCTATCCACCGGATCTTGGAAACAAGGCACACAGGGGACNAAGTCCAGCTTCAAATCCGACTTCTAACTCCCTCATCTTAGAGTTCTCATTAGAGCAGAAGTAAGGCACGAAGCGAAGAGCTCAAGGTCAGGCAAGGCAGTCTAAGAGGCTAAGGAAGAGTTGGGGTAATGTTCTGTGTGCCAATTGAAGTCATTCTAAAAGCTCCTGAGTTTGTGTCCTAGTTAACGATCAAGCTAATAAAGACTAAAAAGACCAATCACTTGCTTATTCGCCAGCTTGGGTTTCGGTTGCAGATGCGATTGATTATGCCATTCTTGCTTTTGGTGGAAGAGAATGACGAATATCTAGGCATGTACATTCATGGAGAGGCCAAGTGATGGGTTACAGTTCTGCGACAGGTGAAGTTTCGGTTGGAAATGCCTTCTTGGGTGACTCTTTCCTTTGATAGCATGCTTTATCGGTGGAAGGTGTCGAATGATGGCCGACTTGTCTTGTCTTTTTGATTGATTGGCTTACGGATGGAAGGTTTGGACAAGAATTCCTAGGCCGAGTGTTGGGCTTTCGGGATCAAAGAATCTTAAGGATTGCCTCTCTTACTCTCATCTTTGGTTGATGAATTAAGACTGCCCCTCCATCTGAATGAAAGCCCGAGGGAATATGAAAGCTATCCACCGGATCTTGGAAACAAGGCACACAGGCCCCTCGGCTTTCAATTAAGGTATAGAGAAAGCTCCAAGCAGCTACCATTGATCAACCTTATTCAGGGATAAGGAATAAATTAAACAAACAAACTATGGATAAATCCAAGCAACCTTTTCTTAAATTCAAGCGATCTTTTGTTTGGAATGAAGATGGATGAATAGGCACCTTACAGTCTATAGACCTTACCTCACTAGTCTTTTATTTTCTCTCAGGATTTTGTTCTTCTTTTTGATTTTTTGGAAAATATTTTTTGGCGATTTGAATTTCATAATATTATTTATTTTATTAGGATATCCATCATGCTTCTTTTGGAAGCCAAAATGTGCTTTGGATGGTCGAATCTGCCCGGACTCAAGTAACTCCATCCGAAAAGCAGCTTCTAAGTGAGATGATCTCGGCTTGTCCATAAAAATCGGCTGATCACTCCCTCCTATGTTGTAAGTGTAAGCAATGTAAGGGCAGGTCGACAGAAAAACCAGGAGAACACCTAAAAAAAGGCTTTCAGTAGCTCCCTTATTATCTAATTTGAAGCGCCAGTAGTTGTAGCTGTGGCCACTAAGCAATATCTGGGCGATAATTAGTCAGGTAGAAAAGAGTCCCAACAAGTCTCCTTGAAATGTTTATTATTCGTTGATAGATCTAAAGCTTACGCCGTCGTGACCACTTAGGCTTGGTTTACTTTGGATTCCCGAGAAACTCGGTGATCTCGAAGTTTTTTTTTTGGGCATATCGTAGTAAGGAAAGGGGTTTTTGGTACTAATTAAATTCACTAAGTGGTATAGATTACGTTCCTTTGGTTGTCTTACTGGACCACAGCAAATAGAACAAACTGTAAGAAAGCTCTTTCAGTGCCTTTCCTTCAGTTATATCCAGTTTCCCAGAACCCCAGCTGTAACCCAAGTCAATTCGCGCTTTCTCCGCCAGCGGCTTATGTAAAGTTAATTCACTACAAATAGACTGAACACCGTAGTAGGAGCTACATCTCCTTAGCCCTCTTCTTTATCGTTTTACGTCAAGCAATACGTGGAGTAACTCCCGATATAACAGCAAAAGCAAGACGTGTAGGTGGATTTTCCTCTACAGCTGATCTTCCTCAACAAATTCAAGTTTTTATTCTAACAACCAACTCATTGCCCTATTTTATCTAGTCAAACAAAAGAGAAAGGTTGGAACCCTCGTCCAACCAAGATAATATCGATTGCTCGCCCACAAAGAAAGAAGTTGGTAGCAACATAACTCTTTCTAAGGGAAAAGGATATCCCTTTGCCATTTCCTTGCGCTAGCTCCTAGGAAGCAAGCCTTGGTTAGACCAAAACGAGGCCTTTCCTTGCTAGTTGGAATAAAAACCTCAACAGCAGCCCGCTCGCAGAGCGAATGAATATAAGTCAGGCCGGAGAAGGGCTTATACTGCTCTCCTTTGCTTGATATGTTCATTCAGTACCAATACAAACTAAAACTACACCAAAGTGGAAGGGCCAGTATAGAAGTTAGAAGTAGCTAGCCTATAGTAGTTGGCCATTAAGAGAAAGATATATTCTAGAGAAAATCTTAACAGTTACATCTCATGGCCCAGGACGAGGCGGTACTTGTGACATTTCGGCATGGGACGCGTTTTAATTGGCAGTTTTTTGGATGAGGGTTGAAGGGATCGTTCCCAATAGCCTTCCACGAGGGGAAAGACCCATTCTTTATACAGTCAGAAATTAATACAGACACAAAGGGCTTCAACAGGAAAGTCGTTTCGATCCAATCCATTCTTGGGGCGGATTTTCCAGAGAAGATGGGATCAGAACTTAATAAATTTAAAACTTTCTATTCCATATCCGTTGCAACTAGTATTTGGGTGTTTTTGCTTGAGCTGCTTTCTTGTCCAATACAAAATTTAATATAAGAAAATACTTTCCAGAAAAAAGTATAGGGTTTTGTTACCTCTCCAACTATCTCTCCATTAGGCAGGATTTTCTTCTTTCTATCTCCTTTCTTTTAGAGGAATTGAGTCGTTCATTTCGGTCTAACTTCCTTACTCTACCCCAGTCTCATACGAAGTAAAGAAAGTCCATTATCGTTCCGGAGAACTTACTTTCAGTTTAAGTCATCCATTCTGCTCCTATCTAAAGTGATGCTAGGCTGCTTTACAGAGGTGCGCTTCGCTCGCTTTGCCTAGAATCCCAAGTTGCCTCCCCTCTCCTCTGAGAGGTCTAATATTACTTTTTTATACATATATTTTATAATTTTAAACAACCTCCAACACTCTTAGCAAAAGTGTTGACTTGGTCACTTAGCAATACGCCAACATTGAAGAAGAAAAAGATGTACCACAAACTGAAGTTATCTGTTTTGTTCTTGTTACTTGCTGTGATTCAAGCACAGCACTGTTACATAACCCCTGGCCAGCTAATTTTCTTATTTAATTTAAATTTTTAAATGATTGCCAAAGAAAACAAAATTTAATCCCTACAGCGAAATCATATCCATTAACCAAACAAGATAAAAACATTTGTACATTCCCCTCATTAAGAATCTCATTGATACTTCCACTTAACAAGTCCTGCTATAATATAATTCTATTCACAATCCCAACAAGCATCAAAGTTATTCTTCAATGATACTTTTATCGCACTTTTCGTTATCGCTGCAACATGTAATCATTGAAATGGTGTCCTAAATCATTTCTTTTTCAAAATAAGAGCACGCACCTCGACTATTCTATCATGTACCTGCTATCTTTGACCACAAAGGCAGGCAGCTAATCGAGATTTAATTAATTTCCTAAATCATTTTTAAGAGGAGGATGTGGAAATTTGACATAAATACATGAGGTCTACAAGTGCAACCTTCACTATAACCTGCTATTCATTTACTAGAATCTCATGGAGCTTTTGAACATTGAGTTCAACCAAAACCCAGTACTGAACAAAGATATACATGTAAAAGAAACTCAGCAAATACTAAATTCTAAACTCATAACCTTAAAAGTACAATGTGTTCAGTTCTAAGTACTAAAAACATTAAAGATCGAATTCAACAAGTTTAAATCATCCTCCGGTCAATAGTGTTTAATTAGACAATTCATTTCAAAGATGAAAAGGTATAGAGCTGCACATGCATGAGCTGACGAATAAATGCATGCATGTATGTATCAGAGCTTCTTTTACCTCACCAACTTTAACTTCCAATTCATGTAAACTTGACATCTTAAATCTTCTTTTGAAACTATGCTCCTTGGTTTTTTTTATCCTTCCCTCTTCATTGGACCAACAACTTACAAGTCTCACTTGCTAGCAATTTTGCTAGCTGGAGATGCTCTTCTCAAGGACCTCGGCGTCTCCCAAAGCAGAAGCAGCTCTGGCGTTGATCAACAGGGATCATCCCACCTCCCTTTGATGTGTCAATTGATTCCAACATGGACACCACTTCATCCATTTCTGGCCGCTTGTCAGCGTTAGCATCCCAACACCGCTTCATCACATTTGCCAAAGAACTTGGGCAACAACGAGGTATCTCCGGTCTCAAATTCTGCAAATCCAAAGCAGAGTTGTGACTTTTAAAGATTTTCTTTTTGCTCTTCAACGAACAAAAATGTGTATATATATATATATTTCTACCTGTCGGACAACAGCTGTCGTCACTTCTGAGAAGCTCAGATCTGGATATGGCATGTCACAGCAATATATCTCCCAGAGGCAAATGCCAAAGCTATATACATCACACTTCCGGTTATACGGGTTGCCGTTAAGAACCTGTCTTGTAGACCATGATAGAAATAAGCAACATATATTTTACATATGATGCACGTGGGTGGGTCTCATAAGTCAAGCACATACCTCAGGTGCCATGTAACCTAGGGTTCCAGTCTCCCCGGTCATATCATTAGGATTTGAAGCTTCAACACGAGCAACACCAAAATCAGCAATCTTAAGCGTACGATTCCTGTCAAGAAGCATGTTCTCTGTTTTGACATCCCTATGGACTATCTTCTCAGAATGAAGATAGTTTAACCTGAGAATACATTTTTAACATGTTTTGTGTCAAACATATGCTGTAAACAAATATAAATAAAAGAGGAGTAAGCATTATGAAATTTCACCCGCGTGCTAGATCCAGCGCCAGTTGGACCACAACTTTGAAGGCCAACTTCCTCCTATGGCTCTTGATGAGAAAAGACTTGAGAGTACCCCCGGGAAGGTATTCAACCACCACACAACAAAGGTTACGTGGAATGCCGATGACACCATTCTCAGTCTGTATGTTGAGATCTGGTGTGCCCATTGCAGCTCCTATAAACTGTGAAAATGTTTGGCCATTTAAAATGTTTAATACTCTTTCAACTCAAACACTTTATGCTCCACAGAAAGACTTTCAAGGCATCAAATTAGAATCGCATGCCACTTCTACACATCTATATCGGAACTAAACAGCTGAGAGTAGAGCCTGATACAACTATTCAGAAAAAAAAAAAGGCACTGACGGAGCAGTTGGACAAACTGAAGGTTTTTCCAGGGGACCCGGGGGTACGTTAAAGCTCAACAAGTTGAATTAAGTAGAGACTTCTGCTCTTCCTCAAAATTTGGAAACAAGACTCTAGAAGTGAAAACTGTTGATGAAATGGAACTTATGCAAATTCTAATGAGAAAACCTTAAATATTCATGGGTCAGCAGCTTGTCAATGTGACCGGAAATATTTCATTCCTTAAACTTGGTCACGTGCCTTTGATTTGCTATGAACACAAATTTATACTTCAAACACTATAATGTTGTGACCAAGCTAAGCATCAACCAATCTCCTTCATACTTCAGTTAGATATGTAGCGAAGAAAAATGAAGAGTAATTTTGACAAATTTGGAACCCAAAGCTTTTACTATATTATTTTGGTTATAGGTAGAATGTAAAGCAATTTCAGCATATCATGCCATCATTTTACAAAAACTTGCATATGTTTACTATTTCATGGCATATGCAGGATGACAAAAGCTGATTTTTCAATGTAATAGATATTACCATCAAGAAAATGGCAAAATGAATAGTTGACATTGTAATGGTGAAATTAAAATATCTTACTTTTGTGACATTAGGATGATCAAGCTTGTGCCATACAGAAACTTCTTGTGTAAAAGCTGCTCTGACCGAAGAAACCTCAGCCTGAGACCTCTGGCCTTCTTCTCCCCAATCAAGAAGCTTTACTGTGGTTAAGATAAAAGCTTTTGATTAGCTAAGCATGAAACTGTGATGCTTCTCCTGAGTTCTGCACTTTGAATTATAACTTGAAAACGGATTAAGGATACATACGCATAACTTGACAATTAGCCACTTTCAAAGTTGTCTTTAATAGGCTCATATTCATTTCCGATTTGGTTCAACTTTTCTTCTTTCGCCACTAGTCGAAGTTGCAGTTGATAATGAATTAATGATCAATAACTTAATGAAAATAAAAAAATTCAAGATCAATATGTCATTCATTCATAACAATCTGGGAACAATTTTCTCGCATCATTGTCAAAAGAAAAAAGAAGAATCTATTGCATCATTTCCAAGAGTCAGCCTCTAAAATCAAGTCTTTAATAACCGAACAAAAGTAAAACAAGGAAGCACACAATTAAAGATGCAATCATTTCCAAGATTGAGCATTGCAGATAGCTTATTCATTTGGTAACACCTTATCCACATTCCACAACAAAATCAAGGGCCATGGCCCATGACAACATATACAAAGCTAGCAGTTATATTAGCATTACAGCATGTTTACATAAATTGTAACGGAGGGAGCACAACAATTACTACTGCATCTCGATCCCAAGCAAGTTGGGATCCGGCTATAAAATGACAAATACTAGATAATTTGCTACTCCCTCCGTCTCATATTAACGGTCGTGGTTACTAAAAATAATTGTATCAAATTATTTGTCGGAATTCCAAGACGAAATTAATTATTTTTTTTCCACCCTTAGTAATAATTGTTCTTCCAGATGAAAACAACACATAAATAAAATAAATATTTTAGTATTTCTTAAGGGGCGTGTAAAAGATAAACAGCACACACACAACTAATAATGGATGGTATATTTTTATGTAATAGAGGAGTATTTTTGGCTCTTTTCCCAAGAAACCTCAATCCAAAGCAAGTTTTAGGATCCATACTAAAATTAAAAGAAAAAAAAAAAAGAAGAAGAAGGAAATTACCAGCAACATCAAGGCCATCATAGATGCCACGATGAACGGTACCAAAAGTACCACGAGCAATGACAGTTTTGATGATAAGCTTAGAAGGGTCAATTTCCCAAGCATGTTTAATTGGGATCTCTCTACTTTCCATCCCTATTTCCTGTTTCTCCATTGTCCATGCTCTGCTTAAATGCCTCTGTAGCTGCTCATCTATGCTCTTCAGATCTATACGATCTGCTCTTACAAAACCCACTTCCTCCATCACTCTATTTTTCTAACTATTTCAGATTTCAGAGCAAAATGGGACTAGTGTTAGTACAAGTAGTGGAAATTTGGGGCAACGGCCATGTCTGAAGACTACTAACTGTCACTGTTGTTTACTTGAGATTTACATACAGGAACACTACTATTTATGTTGTGTTCTTCTATTTTGTTTTTCTTTTCTTCTAATAAATGATTTTGTCTTTTTTCATAACTGATGTTAACTAGGTGCTTTTTTGCTCTTATTTTTTTTTTTTTAGAGTTATTATAAATATATTCTCCATCTAAGTTTGTTTGTTCATTACACTAAAAATAAATGTCTACTTTCACCGATCCAGTTTAGAAAATCAATGGATAACTCACCATCTTATATTTATTTTACCTTATTATTTCTCAATATTTCGGATTTATAATAGTCACAATTAGTTTTTAATAATAATAATTAGGGGTGATATAGTAAAATTATTATATTATTTATTATTTTTTAAGTGGTGTGCCAAGTCAATAGTAGACAAGTAAACTTGAACGGATGTGTAACGACCCGGCCGGTCGTTTCGAGAGTTACAGCTCTGTTCCCCTATTTTTCTGCTTCATTTGTGTTCTTCAGCTCTATTATGTCTTACCGGTCAGTTGGTTCGGGTCCGGAGTGGTCTTGGAGTGAATTGAGACACTTAGTCTCTTTTGTGAAGGCTTAAGTTGAGAAAGTTGACCGGATGTTGACTTATGTGTAAATGATCTCGGATTTGAATTTTGATGGTTCTGTTAGCTCCGTTAGGTGATTTTGGACTTAGGAGCGCGTCCGGAATGTGATTTGGAGGTCCGTGGTAGAATTAGCATGAATTGGCAAAAGTTGGAATTTTGGTGATTTTGGCCGGCAATGAAAATTTTAATATCGAGGTCGGAATGGAATTACGGAAGTTGGAGTAGGTTCGTGGTGTCATTTCTGACTTGTGTGTAAAATTTGAGGTCATTCGGACGTGATTTGATAGGTTTCGGCGTCGTTTGTGGAATTTGAATGTTTAGAAGTTCTTAGGCTTGAATCCGTGAGTAATTTGGTGTTTTGATGTTGTTTCGAGTGATTCGAAGGTTCAACTAAGTTCGTATGATGTTATGGGATGTGTTGGTATGTTTGGTTGAGGCACCGAGAGCCTCGGGTGAGTTTCGGGTGGTTAACAGATCATTTCTTGGCTTTAGAAGTTGGCAGATTTTCTGGTATTTTGTTGCAGAGTTTTTCTTCATCGCGTTCGCGAGAGGGCAGTTGCGTTCGCGAAGGGTTAAGGTGAAATGAGGAAGTTTTGTTCTTCGCGTTCGCGAAGAAGAGGACGCGAACGCGAACGCGAAGGGTTGGCCTGAGAGTGCATCGCGAACGCGAGAGGGTATCGCGTTCGCGAAGAAGAGAAGAGGCAGCTTGGGACCCCAGGTCCATTGTTCTACGCGTTTGCGAAGGTTGGAGCTTGTAAGACATCGCGTTCGTGAGGAGTGTGTCGCGTTCGCGAAGAGTAAAGTGAGGAGGCAGTGAAGTTGTTCTACGCGAACGCAAGAGGGAGGCCACGTTCGCGAAGAGGAAAATCTGAGCAGGCAATGTTATATTCAAAATCGAGGGTTTGAACCCATTTTTCATATTTTGAGCTAGAGACCACGGATTTGGGCGAGTTTTGAAGGGATTTTCAGGGAGTTGATTGGGGTAAGTGTTTTTCACTTGATTTTGGTTAAATTCCATGATTGTATCTTGATTTCTATCATCTAAATTGGGGATTGGGGTGAAAACTTTGGGGGAAAATGGAAGAGTTCTTGAGATGGAATTTTGGGGTTTTGAAGGGGATTTTGTTGTCGGATTTTGATGAAATTGGTATGGGTAGACTCATGAGTGAAGGGTCTTTCTAGTTTTGTGATTTGTCGGATTTCGAAACGTGGACCTGGGGGCCAGGTTTGAGTGAATTTCGGGATTGGCCTATAATTAAGTAGTTTTTCTTGTGGAATTGGTTCCTTGGCCTATATTGATTGTATTGTATTGCTTATGACTAGATTTGGGACGTTTGAAGGCCGATTTGAGAGGCAAAGGCGTCGCGGAGTAGGATTTTGGCTTGGTTTGAGGTAAGTAACGCTTCCAAAACTTGATTCTGAGGGTTCGAAATCCCGAACTATGTGTTATGTGATTAGTAATGAGGTGACGCACATGCCAAGTGACGGGCGTGCACTGTGAGATTAGTGACTCTATCCTGTTGATATCCATGTTTTCATCATGTGATAACGTAGTTGAGCTATAAATCATGCTAGATATCATGTTTAGGCTTTGTGCCGGTATTGTTTGGATCTTTAGCGGTCGTTTCTTGCTGTCATCTCACTAGTTTTTTCTTTATATTCCATACTCAGTTATGATCATGCATTTCTATATCATATCTCAGTATCAGTTAATTATTGATTCATCATATCATTGTTCCAGGTTGTTTTCATGACATTGTGAGCTCGTGGTGAGACAGGAGAGGTTAATGACTGAGTGAGGCCGAGAGCTTGATTATGAGTGACAGTTATAGGGTCGGGCTGCACGCCGCAACAATTATATTAATTATGATAGCGCTTGGGCCTTAGGAGCCCTCCGGAGTCTGCACACCCACAGTGGGCGCGAATGATATTATTGAGGGATGGATCTTCCTTGGACATGAATTTTGTCCAAAGTATTGATACCTAGAGATGGATTTTCTCCACAGGGCTGGAATGGCCTTCCTCGGTACTGAGTGACTGTTGTCAGTGATATGTATATATTCCAGGATGGATCTTCCCTGGGCCGGATGACCATATACAATACCGAGTGGTTGAGCACTTGAGAGTGAAGTACATGGTGCATTTCATACTTCCTGTGCATTGGCACGTAGAGGTTAACTGAACTATATATCTCACATTGTCCAGATCTGTATTTACTTTACTGCTTGGGCTGAATACTTGAATTGAAAGCATGCCTACTTTTCTGTACAGTTTACTTTTGTTTACCTGTTGAGGTTAAGTTCGTCACTACCTATCAGTCCATAGTTTGGACTTGTTACTTACTGAGTTGGTGTAATCACGTTACCCCCTGCACATTGCATGCAGATCCAGGTATCTCTGGCCACGGTAGTGGCTGCTGATTATTCTTCTGTTGCTGATCACTGGAGACAGTAAGGTAGCTGCCTGGCGACCGCAGCCCTGCTTTCTTCTTCTCTATCTACCCCGTAGTTGTACTTTGGATTTTTTCCCCAGACTATATTAGTCTTGTTGTTATCAGAATAGTTTGTAGTTGTGGCTCATGACTCACTGACACCCCGATGTTTGGGGCTTTACTTTCCGCACTTCTATTTTGAGTTCAACTCCTGTTTTCTTTTATGAAATTCTGCTAAACATGATGTCTTTTGGCATAGCTTTTAATAAATTATTGTAGTATTGTGGATGTCGGCTGGCCTAGTACTATTGATAGGCGCCATCACGACATGTTTGAGTTTAGGGTCGTGACAGGATGGAGTAAAATTCTTGATAAATATGTAATTGGTAGCTGATAAAAATAATATTTCTAACTAACTTGTTATTACAGGTTAAAATTTACTCATAGTCCAAAATTCTTTTTATTACTATTGGTTTATATAACTTAAATCCTTCTTATTATTATGGCAATCACAAATAAAATGCGAATGACTATAATTTATTACATAAATAAGATAAAATAAGTGGCATGATACGCCGAAGGTAAATATTATTACAGTATTAGTTTAAGTATAATTTATTGAAAAAAAGAAAAAAAATAGAAAATTTATACTCCTTCAGTTTCAATTTATCTGAACCTGTTTTCTTTTTCGTCCGCGCTAAAAAGAATGACCATTTTTATATTTAAAAATAATTTATCTTTATGCAAGGATTTATAGGCGCACAAAATATATGTGCCTTATTTTTCACTACAAGTTCAAATGTCTTCTCTTTTTCTTAAACTCAGTGCCCAATCAAATAGATTTACATAAATTAAAATAGTAGGAGTATAACTTAACTTCTACTTAGTAAAAGTATAACGATCTGACCAGTCATTTTGAGCTTTAGCATTTCGTTAGACGGTTTGAGACTTTGAGTAGCTTCATATGATGCACTTTGACTTGCGTGTATGGTTGATTTTGATGTTCGAGAGGTTATGGATTGATTTGGCAGAGTGATTCTCAACTTGGAAGCTTTAAGTTGGAAGAGTTAACTAATATTTGACTTTTTCGTAAATGACCTCGGAATCAGAATTTGATGGTTTAAGTAGGTTCCTATGGCGATTTTGGATTTGGGTGTATATTCATATTTTGATTTGGAGGTTCCTAGAAGGTTTTGGCTCTATTTGTCGAAGGTTGGCAATTTGAGGAATTGGAGAGTTCATAGGTTCTGAGAGTTGACTTCGGTGTTATCAGACTCTTATTGTGATTTTGAGACCTTAGATGTTCATTTAGTTGATTGAAACTTGTGTGCAAAGTTTGGTTGTGATCCGAAATGTCTAAGTGTGATTCGGACGTGTTCGGCGAAGCTAGAATATTTGAAAGTTAGGAGAATGATTTGATCTTCAATTCTTAGTTTTGATGTCATTTGTGGTGCTTCAAAGCCTTTGGATAAATTTGTATAAAGTACAAGGACTTTTTCGGAATGAATCGATGAGGTCCCTGAGAGCTCGGGTGAGTTTCAGACCACTTGGAGCATGTTGTACATTGCTTAGTTGTTGCTAGTTCTGGTGCGTCACATTTGCGATGGATGTGTCACAAATGCGACCATTGCAATTGCGAAGTAGTTGTTGCATGTGACCTGGTAATGGATGGGAGGACATCGCATTTGCGAGGACTTTTGTCGCATTTGCGATTGAGGGTTGTTGAAGGGAATCTTGCATTTGCGAATGCAAGGGTCGCATTGCAAGTCCTATGTCGCAAATGCGACACCTGCAGTTGGGTTAATAGTTGAAATTTCGAGATTTTATCTCATTCTCTCATATTCTAAACCTTATATGTGAAGAGAGGCGATTTTGATTGGATATTTTCATACAGGACCTTGGGGTAAGTGATGTCTACTCATTTATGGTATTATTTCTAGACTCTACATGGATTATTAACACCTAAAACATGAAATTTTGGGATATAATTTGAGGGTTTTCTACAACTTAAGAGAATAAAAATTGAGATTTTGAGCTATGACTTGGACTTAGAT